ACCTTGCAACTTATCTCATCTCACTCACTGGTAGTTCTCTTTCTGTCAGACACACAGCAAGCAAAATTCCTTTTGAAATAATAGACCAGAAGAACGGTACTCAGTCGTCATGTATAAGGTGATATTTTACGGTGCAAACTGTCACTCATCCTTTAGATGTAGTAAGGTGATATTTTACGATGCAGTCTGTGTTTCATCCCTCAGATGTAAACACAGACCGGACTATGCATGCGGGTAGGAGGTGCCCTTTTGAAACTTTCAATCGATACAGAATCACCTCCAAATTTAAAGGCCGACTGCTATGTTGCATTCGGGTACAGCAGCTATATTGCAATTGCTTTTATGCGTTTTTGCTTACGTGCAAATTGCAAAAATGCATACTGCGACGACCCTGTCCGTATGTGATTTTACATCTGTGTGCGATCCAAAGGTTTCAAATTTAGCTTTTACGTACGCTTGCATTTTATGTGTCGGTGTGTGAGATTCCTGGCGGGAAATCTACTACTTACGAGCCAGACAGCATATCGTTTATTTTTGCACATACGCCAAACTGTAAAACAGTGAAAATTCTTAACAGCAAACGTTCACCGCACGGAATTGCGCAAGATGTATGATCGCACCAACTGCCCTGGTGCGCACCCCTGTTCATTCTTCTTTACAATTTCACATGCTATCAAGTTTCGTACATCACCCTGCCCACGTACTGTTACCCGTCTTTTTTTACTTCATTTTCCTTTTCAGTGGTTCACTATCTGCCTTTAGTTTACGGTAGATAAATGCTGTACTATGGCGACTCCCACCCCCATTCGCATCTGATTGGCTATATTTGTTTACAGCTAAGGGACGAAACACACACGGAATAGTTCCACATGTTTTCTCTGACATGTGACAAATACATGTCCACCGATCTCCCTCTACAATTCCTTAGCTTCACAGTCTCTTCTTTCCGCTCTTCTAATATCCAGTTCACATCCTCTCGTTCCTCTAAGCGGATCCAGGGAGAGAAGGAAAGCGGGACAGGGGGAGGAGAGACGAGGAGAGGGGGGAGGGCGAAGGATCCAGCAGCACAGGCACGAGTGCTACAAAAGCTCGGGCTTAAAGCTAAAACTAAAGTAAACTAAAGGCTAAAGTGACCCTAAACTAAAGTAACTCTAAGTAGCAGTGCTGCAACTCTATTCCTAGTTCCTGCATCGCTCCACGGTGGGATGGGACCTTCTCCCCACATATCTTCCCTCTTCCCCCCCCCC